CCCCAAAACCCCAAAACCCCAAAACCCCATCTCTCACGATAAAATTTTATTAATAGGAAAATAATTACAATAACTAGCTAGAAATAAATGTCATTTGTATTTTCTGAATAAAAAAGAGAGCTAAGTTTCTTTCCCAATTCTCGAACTTCTGTTGGGCCAAATGTAGGGCCTGGAGCATATTCGTTTTAAGAAAAAGATACCATAGCAAGTTGAACTTAGAAATACCACTCTGATGACACTAGGGCACCTTTTGGGACTAGTGCTCGTAGAAAAATCAATATGCCTCATATTGAGATGCTGCATGACCTGGTCTAATTTAGGATAATTCCTTTTAAAGATCAAAAGACTGTTACACCTAATCCAGACAGCAATAATAAAATGATTGAAAAGAATAAAAGCAGAAATGACCTTAAAAGTAATCAGTTTTTGCCAAAATCTAACATTTGCAAAGCATCCTTTGTGCTGCCTGATAAGGACAAAGCAGATAAAAAGTTTAAAGCCTAGCAACAATAAAATTTAGAAACATCAGAAACTATATAATAAAATGACAGCTTTGTCAGTAATCAGCATAGAAAACAAAAAAGACAAGAGAATAAAAATTTGAATAAAATCCTTGGACTTTTAAACCTGCAAAAGAACCCTCCAACAATTTAGTCAGAGAAAGTTAAAATCATTGATGATGCAGATGAAGAAGAAGGAAATAATGGATCATTTTTCATGACTGAATAAAATAATGGTAACTCTTACAGAAATAACTTGGACTATCAAATTCTAAGCAAAACAGCTGTAAAAGATAGTCTAGGCTTAACTATTAAAAAGCGATAAGATTAAAAGATTATTTCTTGGAAAGTAGACAAGACTCCAAACAAAAAGGGTTATCTAGATCATCTGATGGCTCAAAAGAAATTTATGGAATAAGTAGGACCAGGCTCTTACAACCTAAATTAGAGCACTTAGATTCTTCCTATACCTAAAAGCACTAAGCAAATCAATAATTTTAGTTAGAATATGAGCATGCTTGATGAATTAATATCCCTAAAAAATGATGCTATTAAGCTTAAGGATTAATTCTAGTCACAGGCTGACTTCAATTATGGCGATTAGTCTTAGAGGTCTAAGAGTAATCTAAATGTGATTGGTGTGAGATAATAATATCTGGGCTAGGAAATGGAATACAGCTCTCCTATTTATAGTAGCTTTAATAACTTAAAGACTCATAACTAATCGAGAATAAGTGAATATACTAAGCAAAAGCCTTAGGCTGACAGACTTTCTTTTATTGATAAGAATTCTATCTAAATGACTAATCTTGGCCCAGGATCTTATCAAGTTACCTCAGACTTTGGAGTAGGCATATAAAGCAACAATAAATCCCCGAGAAAAATGGTACATCCATCGAGACCCCACAGGACTCAATCTAGTCCTACCAATTAATTAATGTAAGCTGACAGATTCAAGTATTAAAAGATTCAACTCGAAAATTCAAGGAATATGCCAGGTCCAGGATAGTACTCCTATCAATAGAATCAGTCATCTCAAATAGTAATACAAGGCACTATTGAAAATAGCAATTAGAATTAAACTTTTGATAATCATAAACTTGGAAATCCTAATTATCCTTCATTTGGTACTCGCTAAGCTAGAGAATTGCAATTAGTCAAGAAGGGGATTTAGGAGGTCCCAGGTCCTGGCTAGTACTAGATGTATTTTAATGTGGATGACTTGCTTTAAAAATGTGATGATAAGGAGTTGGTGGGTGCTATAATGTAAAATATGTAAGAGAGAAGGCCAAATAAAGTTTTTTCTACTAAGGAACCAAGAATAGCTGTGTTTCAGGAGAACAAGATAATGAAAGTAGAGGGTCTTGAAAAGTATTACAGCTAGGAATAAAATACCTTTACTGAATAGCAGTTAAAGCTCTAACAAAAGAAGTTGGAAAAACTAGTATATCAATTGAAAAAGGAATATCCTAATTAAAGAAATGCTGCAGTAATATAAGGAAAGTAAGCCCAGCAATAAAAAGATATCAAAGACTATAGTAGCTCTATGTCTCAGCTAGAGTCTAGCTTTATTAAAGGATAGAAGTCTCATAATACAGAGAGTGTTTAATCATTCTCAAAAAATAACACAACTAATAATTTGTAGAGTTCAACAAATAAGACACCCTATAAGCATAGACCTTAACCCAGTGCTGTGTTCTAATCTTCTACTAAGAGAGGACTAGATCCCGTTTAGAACATCACTAGCAATACTATAACTAATAATGAAAGATTTACTGTCCATCATGCAGACTTTGTTGAAAGAGATTCAAACACATTCATGACAAATTATGGGACAGATAGTGCATCTTCTGCCTGGGATAAAAAGAGTTTTAACTTAAAATACAACAAATAAGCCAGATAAAATCTTGGCTTTGACAGGAGGAATAGGTCTGTTTTGGACAATATAAAGCCAAAATAAAACACTTCTACTCAATATGATGCTATGAATATGTCGGCTATGTAATGAGCCTGCTATTTTCTGGTTATGTGAAGTATATCAATTTGATTAGTACAAAATTATACATAACTATGTTTGGAATATTTGATTTTGCAGTAATAATTCAGGAGTAATAATTAATTATAATATATAATTATATATAAATTCTAAAAATGCACAGAGAATATGAGAATATCGACGCGAGGTATTTCAATCTCCCTCTCGATGAAAAATCTCCAGCAGCCTAATTCAGATACGTATATCCCTTCAACTTCACTACAGTGGCTTAAGCATGGATTCTCAAGTTCAACTATGAGCCAAGATTTGTTTTGACATCTTTCGCAAATGTTTAATAGTTAGATGAGGATCGCGTTCAATTCTACAGAAGAGTTGACTGCGCTGCTGGCGACGATCTTAGCTATGAAAAAATCATTATCAACAGAGCAGATAAGACTATAACAAGCGAACTAATTGCTGAAGGTTTCAATAAGAAAGAGCAAGTCTGTGAGAGATCTATTCTTCATCCAGAAGGAGAAGATAAAGTAGTCTAAGACTATACTCTTATTGCTCATCAAGGTGTAAAAACAGTCAAACTTGAGTTGTTCAAGACAGGTATTGAGAGGCTATACAAAACAGTTAAGTTTGCTCAGTTCGAATAATAAAGCGAATGAAATAACCCAGGCAAGAAACTTCTTATCTATCCTCTATAGCTCTTTCTTTAGATGTTTGTTTTGGATAAGACTGAATGCATGATCTTCTATGTATTCTTTGCAATCTTAGACAAATGTAACTAAGAGTTTTATTTAAATCAATAGTTTCATTCCAATCTATATTTTGCACCCAAGGGGGTTTTGGGGTTTTGGGGTTTTGGGGTTTTGGGG